GAAGCGTTCGGCAGCCGTAACCGCCCATTTGCAGTACGACGCATTGTGGAGGCATTCAGGGTAGATCTAAGACATTGTAGAGAGAGGAACAGTGAGCGAGGAACAGTGCAAGTGAAATAGAGATTGGAAGTAGAGTATAGAGAGAGAACAGTCGGGTACATACCTGAGGAATGTTGCAGCAGTTGAAACCACTTATTCCCGAACTTTTTCAACTATATATTATTGTGTGCTTTGAGAGGAACTTACAAATTTGCACTGTTCATGGACACCGCTAAACTTGTGTGAACGTCATCTGAATGTTCTCAATTGTGTGTTGTATTTTGAGTTGAATCTTGCGAGCTTCATTGCAATTTGATTGAATCAAATCGATTTATTTATATATATATATTTATTTATTTTCGTGTGTGTGAGTGTGGGTGTGGGTGTGCACACACGCACGGTACTGTCTGCGTGTATGTGTGTCTTGCTATATCCGCTACACACTCAAAGAAAGCATGATTGTGCTCGGGCTTTCGTTGACTCCTCAGGCGGTTGAACACCGACAGTCTTCCTAGGATGCATTTGACTGATGGATAAGGACTCGCCACATCGCCCAAAGTTAGCAATAACCCTGAGAAAAGTTAGCAATACCCCTGAGAAAAGTGGTAGCCTTTACCCACACCATCGTGTGCGTGCAGACACGCGCAGAGGCACCGTGGGTACGTAAGTTTTGTTTGTTTTCTTTTTTTTCTCCCTTTGTTGAAGTTGTTTCTTGTTACCTTTTTTTTTCTCCCCCTTCCCTCGCAATACCCCTAAGTATTTTTCGTTCTCTTTTTTCTCCCCGACATTTCAGCTTGCCGCAAACGCGTTCGGACCGTTCACACGCATTCATTGAACACGCATTCGTTGCGTTCAATTATTGAACGAGGAACCCCCATTCAATGACCACACGCTTACACAGTCTAGGCAGCCGCAGGACTGTTGTATAATGAAGTTTTCATGACAAAAATGATATGGACGTAACACATTTCCACAATGAAAACGGAGTCCTTGGGATTTTATTTCACACATGCCCAAGGCTATACATCGATCAAGTAACCACTCCATCCCAAAATAACAGGGGCAAACAGGTCCTAAAACCTCGAGTCCCACTCTGGTGAGCCTCCCCCCTATAAACGGCAAAAACGGAAATAACCCTCACTCAATGCTAGTTCTTTTGTGGTAAGAATTTGCTATAATGGTGGATTAGGGGGATGTGGTTTTGTCTTTGGAAAAGCCCCCTTTCCCACTAAGTGATTGCTTTAGGACCTTAAGAGTATGAGCTGCCAGTGGGCTGTTTCTCTTTGGACTATGGATCTTAACGCCCAAAGTCTGCCTGCGTGACGCTCAGTTGCAAGCATTCGGAGTTTCCTGGCTTTGAGCCACCAAAGCCCATCGAGTGCTCTACCTCTCGCAATGAAGTACCTCAGTAGATTTCGCGGAAAACCTTTCCAAAGACAAAACCACATCCACCTAATCTAGCATTATAGCAAATTCTTACCACAAAAGAACTAGCATTAACTGGCATTAAGCCATCAAATTCAAAAACGTGTGAACATCGAATTCATAGAATTTCCAGATTGTTTTCCGAAACAAAAACAAATAACCCTAATCTACCATAACACAAGGCTGAATTTCCGGTCCCACCCGGGCCGCCTTCCCCCACCGGAACCGGGCAGGTGGTACCGGCCAGTGGAGAGCACCAGTTCCCCACCCGTTGCAAATTGCGCAATTCGCTGTGGGGGGGGCGGTCAATTTTTTTTGGGGCCAGGAGGCCTCCATGCAGGTTGTGGAGGCCTCCCGGCCCCAAAAAAAAATCAACCGAGTCTGGTAGGCCCGCCAGATTATTGAAAAACTGGCGGCCTATTTGGGCTATCAATCTGGTGAGGTCTCCGGCCCCCATAGGCCGGCCGCTTTTTAACATTCGGGCGTCAAACCACCCGAACTTCTTGGCGGCGATCCAAACCTTCCCCAGGCACAGCCCCCCCCACCCCGCCTCCCGCCTCCCGCCTCCAGCTGCTTCCGAACAGCAGAACCCGTCACTTCGACACTTAGACGAGGTCGAGACTGCGTCGCCCCCCCCACGTCCGCCCCGTCCTCGGAAGGTAAGTCTTCCTTTGTTGTTCTCTGTTTCTTCTTCTTCTTCTTCTTCTTCTTCTTCTGGTAAAGCCGAAGTCGGAAGTTTGCAAAGGAGAGAGAGAGAGAGAGAGAGAGAGAGAGAGAGAGAGAGAGAGAGAGTAGTGGGCACGTGCGGGGGGTAGCAGGTGCACATCCACGGAGAGAGAGAAAGAGAGAGAGAGAGAGAAGAGAGAGAGAGAGCAAAGCAGTGAGCGCGCACGGGGGGTAGAGGGCACACACACCCACAGAGAGAGAGAGAGAGAGAGAGCAAAGTAGTGGGCCCGCGTGGGGGGTAGAGGGCGCACACACGCAGAGAGAGAGAGAGAGAGCGAAGTAGTGGGCGCGCACGGGGGGTAGAAGGCGCACACGCGCGGAAAGAGAGAGAGAGAGAGAGAGAGAGAGAGAGAGAGAGAGAGAGAGAGAGCAAAGTAGTGGGCTCGCGCGGGGGGTAGAAGGCGCACACGCGCACACGCGCACAGAGAGAGAGAGAGAGAGAGAGAGAGAGAGAGAGAGAGAGAGAGAGAGAGGCGCGGGGGGTAGAAGG